AAATCATTCAGGAATTCATAGTTCATGGTTAAATTGAGTTATAATATGAAGTTTGTTTTTACTTTTGTTTAAAGGATCACTATAGGGTCAGGAACACAAACATGTATTCCTGACCCTATAGTGTTAACACCACCATCTAGCCCCCTGGGCCTCTCGTGCCTTCATAAATATAGTAAAAATCTTACTATATTCAAGCCTAAAGCTATAAATCTGCATGCTGTAAGACTCAGAAAAACAAGCAGTCTGCTGACATGTGGTAGCCTGATCCAGTCACAGTGCTTCCCCATAGGATTGGCTGAGACTGACAAAGAGGCAGATCAGGGGCAGAGCCAGCATGATTCAAACACAGCCCTGGCCAATCAGCATCTCCTCATAGAGATGACTTTAATCAATGAATCTCTATGAGGAAAGTTCAGTGTCTGCATGCAGAGGGAGGAGATACTGAATCACAGGATGCTGTGCACAGTGCTGCCCTGTGCTCTGCTGACAGCAGATCTGAATGAATCAACTCCGAAGTCCCTCTGGTTCACTCTGAGTGACTGCAAGTGGAGGTGCTCCTAGCTTTCAATGTAAACACTGTATTTTCCCCGAAAATACAGTGTTCACATGAGAAAAGCAGCAGGGAGCTATAGTTCTCACCTGAACAACCTCATTAAGCTGAAGTTGTTCAGGTGACTATAGTGTCCCTTTAATTTCACTTTAAAAAAAATTTAATTAGTAAAACTACAGCTCTATTTGTATACAAATGTATATTATCTGGCATGGTTTGATGTCCTTAATTTATTATATTTCACATAGACATTTATTTTTAATGTAATTACTTTACATTGGGCTAATATAGAGATAAACAATAATTAATATAATGTTAGGTTTTGTTTATCCTATTTACAGATATAGAATTTAGCTACAAAATGTATGCTTCTTTCTTTTTTTAGTTATTTTGTTTATGTTCTGTCTCCTGGTTGCTTCGTTGGGAGGTGGTTGGAACTCCAAACTCTTTTTCATTATTTTATTTTGCAATGAGGGAGAAGCTTGAATGTGACGGCAGATAAGAACCATTCGGCCCATCTAGTCTGCCCAATTTTCTTAATAATTTTATTAGTCCCTGGCCTTATCTTACAGCTAGGATAGCTTTATTCCTCTATCACGCATGCTTAAAGCGGCACTGTCATGCCGAACTTACCTTTCCCCAATCGATTCCCCTTCTCTTCCTCTGTCAGGATCTGTTATTCATTTCTTCCTGTCTGCTCTAGTTTTCTTTAAAACATAAGACAAAGTAGGGACTACTTGCCATATGGAGGTTTCCTACTCCTGACCATCTATGACCAGCTGAGGAGTGTGCTTCATTTCCGGTGGTCAGAGAAATTTTCACACAATTCTTAGCTTTCCTCCCTGTTCCTGCGATGCATCCTGTCAGTATTGCTGAACGTCCTGTCACTTAGACAGAACGGTGGCAAAACTGCCGAATTTCACCCTAACAGAATGAGAACAGTTTCTCCATTCATGTTAGGACACAATTCGAGACTTTGTTCATATAGAAATTTCATTTGAATTAATGAAACTCCGATCCTATTCATTGCCGCGGCTGCATCTTGCAGCCTCTTAGTAGATAACTCCCTAATTCCCACGGTATTAGGGAGCTATCTACTAAAAGGCTGAAAGACTTAAATTGGTCTTTCAGCTACATTTACTAATACTAAGTAAAGATTACTTAGTGTTAGTAAATTCTGCCCCTACTCGCTATTCCCCGAGTAGGGGCATGTCTAGTAAACAGTGAGCAGCCAGAGCCACCTTATAATCCCCCTTCCCGAGCCCCCACCCGTGCCGCGTGAGTGGGATTCGACCATGACAGTGCTGCTTTAAACTCCCTCACTGTGTTAACCTCTACCACAGTGTTTCCCAACCCAGTCCTCAAGGCACACCTACCAGTCCAGGATTTAGGGATTACCCAGTTGTGTCTAAGGTGTTTTTACAAAGAAGAAAAAAAACACCTTAGACACAACTGGGTAATCCCTAAATCCTGGACTGGTAGGTGTGCCTTGAGGACTGGGTTGGGAAACACTGCTCTACCACTTCAGCTGGAAGGCTATTCCATGCATCCACTACCTTCTCAGCAAAGTAATGCTTCCTGATATTATTTTCAAAATCGCTTGACACAGGCTGCCCAACTTCGTGTGTGGATTATCTTCCACTCAGTTACTTGCCCACGAATCTCTCCTCCGGCCCATGAAGGGACCGTGGTCCCTCTAAGGGCCGGTGTTGCCCTGCATGAGCCAGCAGGAGAAATCCCTTGATCTCTCCTGCCAGCCTCGGCCCGTGGCCATCGCGGCCCACCGGGCGTTTGCCCCATGACCAGTCTAGGCCTGCTACTAATAATACCTCTCCCTATACAACCAAGCACTCTGCTAGCATTTCCTGCTGCTCTATTACATTGTCTGCCTTCCTTTAGGTCATCTGAAATAATTACCCCTAAATCCCTTTCCTCGGATGTTGAGGTTAGGACTCTATCAAATATTCTGTACTCTGCCCTTGGGTTTTTATGTTCACAATGCATTATCTTGTACTTATCCACATTAAATGTCAGTTGCCACAGCTCTGACGATTTTTCTAGTTTACCTAAATCATTTGCCATTTGGCTTATCCCTCTGGAACATTAAGCTTCTCTATTTCAATTAAAGAACAAGGTTTTTCCCTCTCAGGCTAAATTTTCTAACTACTGTAGACCATGCAATTGGTTTACCTGTCTGGTATGCATTAATCGAAATGATGCTCCAGAATGTCTTATGAAACTCACAGTGCCCATCCAGAGTACCATCTACATTTTAGAAAGAGGTCCCACTAAGTCCCCTGATAAAAATATCAAAACGGCATCCCACTGGATCAAAAGTTAATGTCACAGTAGTTTCTTAAAGATCAGATAAATTGTAAACTTGTCTTCCTGACATCCCTCTAACATGTGTGAATGATGTGCACTCAGTGGCCAAGATAACGCCATTGTCACCGCAGTGTAGACTTGTCATTTCCTTTTGTAGAAACACATTTAAAAAAAATCATAGACAGATCTCTTCCTCCTGTAATGATTCATCTGCTATGCTTTTGTTTTCTTGTCTTGTTTCCTCTTCCTCTTAAACTCACTTGACAATACTTTGAACTTGGAATGAGAGAGATGAATGTGAGAAAAAAAGGTTTTATGGAACTGAGTCTGACAAACCTGTCTTAACAATAAATAAGGATTATTTGTCATGTGCAATATGTATAAAGAGATAAATATATATTAATAATTATGAATTTCACTTTTTTTCCAGTTAAGTAGCTCTACATTAACTATATTATTTTACACTGCACAAGTGAGAGAACTTTTATAAATGGTTACTACGTGCCCTTTACAGAATTTCAAACTATTTTCTTCCATTAAAAAAAAGTCTGTCTCCTTATGGTTTCTCACTTGTTAAACGTGAATCAAATCTATCAGCGTGTATTTCTGTCAGCCATTCTAACATAATTTTCATACTTATACCTCCCTATCAATGTACCTTTATAAGCATACCTCATGACAAGGGTGTGAATTAACAAACATTTAGAAAAACATTCGGCCACGCTCTGCTTTCTTGAAGTAAAATTAAGAACTTTTCATTTATAATTTTAATACCCTTAAAACTATTAGTAAAATAAAAATTTAAAACTGGTCAATTCTGAAGGTATATGTCATAAGACGTAGATCCCAGTGGTGACAGGTTTGCATTGAGTTCATTTAGACCTCATTCTATTACACCTACTGGGATATTCATTTCTGCCAATATAAATGAATTGTTGGGAATGGTTCCAGAGACAGTTTAATGTGATTATTATTACACAGTTGCCTCCCTGTTCAAGCAGAGAAAGTGGCTACATCTACAGTCAGCATTATAAACAACTGTTAAACCTTTTAGGTTGTAATTATGGATTTATCAAGTCATAAAGGCCAAATAACCTGTGATTTTAAAACTGAACATCTAATCTTGTTTATACTAGGTTCAAATTTTTTTTTTTATTTACGGAAACAATACCATGAGAAAGTTCCCAGAAGAAAAATACAGAATAAGAAAAGCTTTGCAGGAAGACGCAGAGCGTGAGAGAAGAGCTATTTCTGTAATCTCGATAACTAATGTAAATATTCACATAGTAAATTTATTGTATACTGATAATTTTAGAACCTAAAGGCTCTTGTCACCTTTTATGTATGACAAAAAATATGGAAGTTAATACATTTTTTTTAAAGCTTTTAGCGTCTTATGCTGGCATTTTGCAAATAAAAATATTATGATGCTGTAGCTGAAAGTTTCTGATAAAGCAGTAATAGTCCAATAAATTTGACAGCTCAATTAAAAATACAAACCATTTAGCCAGAAGGGAGGCTGCGACTTGTTTCAAATGTACACACAACAAGGCTGACCTGTATTACTGTCTGTGGGAGTGCGCTCTAATCTCCAATCTTTCTGGACTGAACTGTTACTTAAAAAGCGGGGGCATGCCTGCCTTACTGCTTACCCCTGAATTTGTGCATTTGGGACCCTTGCCAGGAATCCCATTTCCTAATAAACGATTCCTCCTTATCGTAGCAGCGGTGGAACGCAAAACCATCCTTCGGGTCTTGAACCAGCCACACGCATCCACACTGGAGTTACTTCTAATCAAACTTGCTTTCATATTTAAAATGGATTGGTTGGACATACTAACTAACAAAGAACTCCTAGCCAAAAAAATTATCTTAAACCTGGAGATCATATATACTCACCCTAGACAAATCTTTTAAGACCAAGGTGAAAACCGCTTTGGCATACATTGCATGGTTCTCGGCTGAGGTGGTGGCTGGTCAAGATCCCCTGGCAGTAATTCCTATATCTCACCATATTCTCTAGAACTGGCTTATAATTGTGTTGGAGGGCGGGGGGCTAAGGCAAATCGGCAACTAGTTTAGTATGTTCTGTTTAACCCCTTAAGGACACACGACATCTGTGACATGTCATGATTCCCTTTTATTCCAGAATTTTGGTCCTTAAGGGGTTAATCTAGTTTGGTCTTTCAATTCACGCTTTGATAATGGTGTAATGTAGCACTTGAACCATAGACCTCTTCTGGTGTACCTTCTCTTGCTCTTATCTGTTGAAATGCAAACTATTGCATATCCAACGTATGTTTCATTGTCCTGAGCACTTGCAGATCATAGTCCCTGACCCACCCAAGTGGTATCTTGGGAGAATTGTCGGTGGTTGAACATGCCGGACACCCACATCTAAATGGTTATGATGTTCCTCTGATCTCCTACTGGTAACTGTTAAAGCTCAACCTTTTACTTATTCACAATAACCTATTTGGTTTTGTAACTTTTGTTTTGTTTTGTTCTGTTTTGTTTATGTTGAGAAAAGTACAAAATAGTGAATGTAACTGGTTGACTATCACTTTCCAACTGTCAAGACTGCTTTTAGGCTGTTAATGTCATTTGTGCAATATTCTTGTATCATGCATTCACAATAAAAATTGTTTTGGAAAAAAATTAAAAATACAAACTATTTTCTTGTCTTTGGAAAACAAATCACATATGTTATTTTGGTCCTTATTTGTAAATACCAAACAGTTCATTGATGCTTTATAATTTACAAACAATTACCCCAATAGCTAATTACAAGATTTGAGCACAAATACGTTTCAGATGCTTGGATCAAAACATATTCCTTTTAATCTACACCCGAACAAATTAATCCATCTTATTATTCAAAGAATAAGATTTCACAGGTAAATCCTGGATGGATCAATTCATTCGGGCGTATATTAAAAATAAATACAAATACAAAGAAACAAGTTCTGCGCTCAAACTCCCATTACTCCTGGGCGGCAGCAACGTCCACAGTACACATCAGCCAAAATACATATAGTAAAAACCAAAGAAAAAAAGTTACCTGCGCTCTTTCCACATCCCTATGTATTTTTAAACAAATGGAGGTTTTTAGTTACCTCCAATGGCCATGAGAGTGTATGCCCACCTGCCACGTCAAGGCAGACCTCTTAGGTGGGTCCTAACTCCAACCATTTGCATTGCTTCCTTGAGCATGGCCATTCTCATGGCCATTGGAGGTAACTAAAAACCTCCATTTGTTTAAAAATACATAGGGATTAAGGAGATAGCGCAGGTAACTTGTTTTTCTTTGGTTTTTACTATATGTATTTTGGCTGGTGTGTACTATGGTCATTGCTGCAGCACAGGAGTAATGGGAGTTTGAGCGCAGGACTTGTTTCTTTGTATTTGTATTCACTTTTGTATCACACAGCTAGGTTGCAATGCTGCTGCCCATCCCATGTGTTCCCTATTAAGGTTTAATAAGCATGTAGGGATGTATATAAAAAAATACCCCTCTCTGTCTCATTAGAGATATTTTTGCCAGAAGCTCAAGGAAGCAAGGCGGATGGTTAGAGTTAGGACCCACCTAAGAGGTCTGCCTTGACGTGGCAGGTGGGCATACCCTCTCATGGCCATTGGAGGTAACTAAAAATCAACATTTGTTTAAAAAACATAGGGATGTGGAAAGAGCGCAGGTATATTAAAAGGAATTTGATTTGTTTGAAGCAGCTGAAATGCATTTGTGCACAAGTCTACTAATATTACTAATATAATTTGTCATTATATAGTCTAGTATCATTAAATGATCCCTTGAATATTCAAGTACAGGCAATTACCATGGACAATAGTAGAGTCCAGTGGAGTTACTCAAAGCAGTTTCTATGAATCTTATGCCTCAGCTAATCCTACAAGTAAGCTAAAAAAAAAAAAAAAACAGGAAAAGAAAAAAAGGACCAAATTGCAATTTTTAAAATTTAATTAACCTTTTAAACAACTTTCATTTCAGTGAACCTTAATCTTAGTTTAGAGGTCCTAATTTGTATCCAGAATGATATCCGATGTTTTAAATATATTAATAGGTTTTTAAAAGATCTTCCAGTACATTTTTTTTTTTAAATATTAGACATGTGCGATTCGTTTCGTGAAATTCGGACATTTGGATGCTTACGATGGATGCTTAAGTTCTGAAGTGCCGAAGTTCGGTAGTTCGGAAGTGCCGAACCGAATGACATTGGTCTGAATTGCCAAAGTGCCGAAGTGCTTCGGATTTCCGAAAAGTGGCAAAACAAGAGAGAGGGAGGGAAAATTACGTGAATGATGACAGGAATATTGACCAGATGTGTAAGTGGTTGTGGTGGCAGTCCTGGCACTGGGAGCCCTATAGATGTGTAAGTTGTTGTAATGGCAGTCCTGGCACTGGGAGCCCCCTGCCATTACTCATTACTGGGGCTTCCAGTGCCAGCACTGCCACCATAACCACTTACACATCTATAGGGCTCCCAGTGCCAGGACTGCCACCACAACCACTTACACATCTATAGGGCTCCTAGTGCCTGGACTGCCACCACAACCACTTACACATCTATTCTATAGGGCTCCCAGTGCCAGGATTGCCACCACAATCACTTACACATCTATAGGGCTCTCAGTGCCCGGCCTGCCACCACAACCATTTACATGACATGGAAAATTCGTTTTATGCAATTTGGACATTTGGATGCTTAAGAAATGTCCAAATTGCCAAAGTTCCCAAATTCCGAAGTTCGGTAGTTTGGAAGTGCCAAACCAAACCGAATGCCATTGGTCCGAATTGCCGAAACAGAAATATACCACAAACCCACATGCAATTCTCTAACAGATATTGATTAAGTTATATGTGATCTGACCTATGCATCAAATCATGCTTCCACCATACCCTTTTAATGATTTATGTTAAAGATTAATTTAATTAAAGGGACACTAAAGTCACTGGAACCACTACAGCTTAATGTATATATGTATATAAATGAACATTCCCCATAGATATGTATTGATTCTCTCTATGAGGAGATACTGATTGGCATAGCGTGGTGTTTTGCCACACGTACGCAATACCCTCCTAATGCTTTCCTATGGGAGAGCAGTGAATTGGCTGAGATCTTCCAGAGAGATGATCTCAGCCTTGGAGGCGGGATCAGCTGCGGCAGGACTGGCGAAAAGGTGAGTAAAAACACCTTTCCTCAGCAATCCAAGGGGGCCAGTTACCTAAATAGTTAAACACTATAGTGTCAGAAATACATGTTTGTATTCCTGACACTAGAATGTTCCTTTAAGTACTAAAGATGGTGCCTGAAGGGCAGTGTCTTTGTGGCTGACATGGACTGAAATAGATGAGACTGTGTCCCTAGCTTGCTGCCAAGTTTTATAGGCATTTGTTACACCAAGGTCACATTCCTCTTTGAATGCGACTTAGAGTACATGTCAGCATGCAATTTAGAAGGCCTAGATAAAGGGAAATGTGAGCTTTCTGCGGAGATTGTCTCAAAGGCTGTCATAAGAGCTGTGCCATCCTTTTTATTATCTGGTGTGAATGCAAAATGCAAAACAGACAAATAACGTAATTTATTGAAATGAGAAATGCAAAATCTAACGCCCATGAGAAAACTCATAGTTCAGGTGAGCACGGGGATGAGTTCTTTAAAAAACCTAAGCGCATTTGGTTTTGGTTGTGGCATGCTATGTTTTTTTCCATATTAAAATCTGTTTAGTATTATTTAAAAAAGAAAACGAAAAGAAAATTTTATATAACTAAAAGAAAGCCCTTTATGTCCTTTAAAAAAAATGACATCATGTGTAAATGTATGGACGCAGTTAAAGAGAAACCCTTAAATTACGGAGGAACAAAGATACAGCACAAAAAAAGCAGGGCTAAACAACCTGATTCAGCATTTCAGATGTTGTAGTTTTCATCTTCACTTTGCCAGCATGACTGCTATAAGAGCATTATAGGAGATGTTGTCCATAACATCTGGAGTGCCGAAGGTTGTCTACCTCTGTACTAGAGTATGTCTATGAAAGGACCACTCTAGGCACCCAGACCACTTCAGCTTAATGAAGTGGTCTGGGTGCCAGGTCCCTCTAGGATTAACCCCTTTTTTTATAAACATAGCAGTTTCAGAGAAACTGCTATGTTTATAAATGGGTTAATCCAGCCTCCAAATCCTCAAGTGGCTGTCTCATTGACAGCCGCTAGAGGCGCTTGCGTGCTTCTCACTGTGAAAATCACAGTGAGAACACGCAAGTGTCCATAGGAAAGCATTGTAAATGCTTTCATATGAGACCGGCTGAATGCGCGCGCAGCTCCTGCCGCACATGCGCATTCAGCCCAGGAGGAGGCGGAGAGGAGGAGGAGGAGAGCTCCCCGCCCGGTGCTGGAATAAAGGTAAGTTTAACCCCTTTCCTCGCCATCCAGCCCGGCGGGAGGGGGTCCCTGAGTATGTTTTCCTGGCACTATAGTGGTCCTTTAAGGAAGTTGCTTTGTAAAATAAGGGGGTGTATCTAAGGGACATAATCACACTACAGTAAGCAGCAAATGGTTTCATATAGAGAAAAACACAGCATGACTATCAGGCCAAAACGTATCAAATGCACTGAAAGGACCATTCCACACCTAAAGCATTTAAGCTGGCTGGAGTGCTTCATGTGCAGGCCCAGGCTTTTCATTAGGCGGAGTAGGCATCCTCCTACAGGCAGTTTTTCACAGTATGTTGCTTGTTGCGTTTCAAATGGGTGAATATGTAAAAGCAGACCACGTAAGTGGTTTTCCACATTTAATCTATCCAAGGCTGTGAATATACTCCACCGCTGGATCTTCTTTTTCTGTTTCTACATATTCACTCACTAGAAACGCAACAACCAACATACTTTGAAAAATTACCATTATTCAAGCCAGGAGGAGGAAACCTTGCCACTTTGTTGCTGCTACTGAATAATAGGACTTTAGGTGCTTAATTCTCTTTGTTTTGCACCTTGCTACTTGCCTATTGGCTCCCAACCACTAGGGGGCACCTGTTTTCAGCACATATAATTTCACTTTTAAAGCTTTATTTATTATGGTATCTGATTGGCCGCTGATGTGGTCCAATCAGTGATGGAGGTGCTCTATTTGAACCTCTGATTTTAGTAACATTGTTCTTCTTGAACAGCCACTATGTGGTGAAACATGCTTCGTAGTGTGAGGGAATGACTATATATTTAGATATGTTACTTTGCAATAAAAGCCCACACTAATTCCTTTACTAACATACTAACTCCTGGCATTGTTAGCTACCTATTCCTGTTCAGTGATTAGAAGGATAGGGATCATAAAGGGGTGCCCTCGAAAAGCACAGTTCAGGGTTTTCCCTTCTCCTTTTCCCCTTTCACTTTATGATTGATTTTCTATTTTTTTTTTCTATTTTTTTTTTTTGTCCTTGATATAACAGCATTTTGCAGTATAGTTGCTAATCCAGGTTCACCGTTTTCGTTTACTTAGCCAATTATTCATAGAGATTTCTTCTATTTAGAAACTGTTTCTTTTTACTCCCGGGATTACATTCACAGATCCTACTAAAAAGGGATATAGTATATAACAGTATATAAAATTTTCTCCCACCAAGCTTCAGCCATTGCTACATTTAGCTCATTGATATTTTGTAATAAGCACTGATTTGCTCCATTTTTTTGCTCTTGTATTCATAGATAAAAATTTTATACTTACATTTAACAAAGAGTTGCTTTTATGCTTTATTTTACTAGATATATTTGAGTGTTATTCTTTTTAGAGGCTTTCTGATTAAAAATTACATTTAATTATTTAAGGGCTGCTCTGGTGGGAAGGGTCATTTATTTTTCCCTAGTAGCTTTTTCTGTGTAAATGTGTTAATGTATTGGGGTTACCCTTCAGCATTCTCCCTGACTTATATTTCTCTGTCTAGCTTTTTTTTTAGCTTGAATAGGATGGTGGGGAGATAAGTACCAGGAGCCTTGGCCAGTGTCTTCTGGAGTCCAATCAGCTGTTATAGCAGAGCTGCAGAAAAAGTTAAAGAGGGTGTAAAACTCAGTCCTGTTCCATCTCCTCCAGTGTCTCTGTGAGAGGCTGGACAGTAAGAGGAAGGGTTCACTTCCCATGTGCCCACTAGTAACCTCTCACACAGGAAATACCCTGCAGGAGGAGCAGGGGAAGCCCTGAGTGATGCACACTGTATAACAGCTCCTGCAGCTCTAATATCATGAATCTCACTGGTCTACAGAAGACATAGGAGGGTGAGTACTTTGCAAATAATCATTCAAACTCCAGCACTCAAAACCTAAACCTGAAAATAAACCCTTTACCTTAATCATATGTTAATCTTTTTAACACCATTAAATTATCTCTATCTGCTTTATTTTGGTGTTCGGAAGAAGGGGAGAGCTTGGAATTTTGTTCCTGGCACATAAATCCAGTTATCTTCACACTTTTTTATAAATGAACCTTGTTACACCCCCTGGCTGTCAATCAGACAACCGATTCTACTTCCTGGTTTGGTCAGCTCAGTGGAGCTAAACTCAAAACGTAGCAATTGCCCAGAGCACCTGCCTTGTAAAGACTTCTCATTGAGCTGCCATGTGAAGTCTGTGATTGGACAACTATAGTAAGTTTAAGTGGGGTTAGAAGGGGAGGGCTGGCAAAGGCTGCAGACAAGATATCTGCAGCCTTTGCAAGCCATTTTTAGGTATACTCCAATATACTCCAATGGAAAAATGCGTAATTAAATGCATGCATATTAGTTTCAAAATAGCAATATTGTACAAGTAATACACTTTTATACTTCACAATACTGCAGAAGGATTGTATAGGAAAGTTGACGGTTTGTTAAAACTGTTCCATTACTATTTGTTATCATCCATTTGACACAGTATTACATAAGTCACAAAATGACATCAGAGACTTATGTAATGAATGGATGGGACTGTTGCTTTCATAAAATAAGCAGTGTCACACGCATTTTTAAACCTTGCTTATTGTCTTCCTTTAAAGGGACACTCCAGGCACCCAGACCACTTCTGCCCATTGGAGTGGTCTGGGTGCCAACTCCCACTACCCTTAACCCTGAAAATGTAATTATTGCAGTTTTTTATAAACTGCAATAATTACCTTGCAGGGTTAACTCCACCTCTAGTGGCTGTTTACTAGACAGCCACTAGAGGGCACTTCCTGCTTCATAGCACAAAAAACCTGTGCTAGAGCTTCGCTGGACATCCTCACGCTGTGTGAGGACCTCCAGCATTGCTCAATTCCCCATAGGAAAGCATTGAAAAGCATTGTCAATGCTTTCCTAGGGGGAGCTCTAATGCCACATTGCCGCGCATGCGCATTAGGTCTCTCCGGCCGGTGGGCGGGATCAGTCTTGCCCACCGGTCGACGTAATGCAGAGGAGGAGCAGCGGTGGACGAAGAAGCAGCGACGTGGGACATGTCTCTGCCTCTGGTAAGTGACTGAAGGGGTTTTCACCCCTTCAGCAACCGGGGATTGGGAGGTGGGAGGGAGAGGGGACCTGCAGTGCCAGGAAAACATATTGTTTTCCTGGCACTGGAGTTTCCCTTTAACAAACATATATTGCTCACCAAGTCAAGCAAAAACAAATACTTAAAGCTCTCATTCATTTATATTGTGACACTAGATATAGACAGACCTCATACAGTCCCAATGTGGTTTGAACTTTGAAATATGATTTATTTTATCTGAACATTATTACCTGAGATTGAGCAATCTACTTAACCTGCATTTGAAAGGTCACATTGATACTTGCTATAGGAATACATGACAGAACAAACGTCATTTGTACCAATATTTTTTTTTTTTAGATTGTGCAGTTCATTACATTGCAAGTGTTATTATAATTGCAATTTTCTTGAGAAAATATTATATAGAACTCTTTTGTAGTAGATAACATAAACCATTAGTGACAAATCAGAAACATAGTCCCTAGTTAGTTATGGGTCAATCCTCCCCTATTTGCAATAAAAATTACAAAAATAAATTATTTAATTACCTTCTAGCTCAGAGGCTCCTTCAGCGCTGATCATCTCTCTGCCTCCAAAAAAACATCATGGAGGAGGCATGGATTTCTCCGCGATGGTCAAATCTAATGCTTCTCATAGAGGAGCATTGGGGACATAATGCGCATGAGCGGTGAGCACTGCATGCGTATTCAAGCTATGCCATAGAGAAGCATTGCATTAAATGCTATGGGCTTCCACTTCACGTGAACAAGTTTAACTCAGATAGTTGTCACAGATGTGCCTCTAGTGAGGGCCAGGACGGCCACAAGAGGTGGTTTTAAACTTGCTAAAAACTGAAATGTTTTACATTGCAATGTTAAAAGGACAGGACCACTCCACCCAGACCACTTCATTGTGATGATATGGTCTGAATGACTTTTAGTGTCCCTTTAATTTCTCTTGATCGGGAACCTGGGCTCCTTAATTCAAAACCTGCATTAAAATGCCTTAAATGAATCACCCAATTGGAAATTGTATGTATTTTCACTTTGGCACACAAATATGTCTCTTATTGCATAAGAAAAACAGCCATATTGATGATGTTCTACTGAAGAGATGCTGAGGGGTTCTAATTTATTGACCTAACTAGATATGAGCAGATATGAGCAGATGATGTATTTTTGTCAATAGGTTTAATGTGACTGACTTCTTTAACCCCTTAAGGACCAAACCTCTGGAATAAAAGGGAATCATGACATGTCACACATGTCATGTGTCCTTAAGGGGTTAAAATGGCATGTATGTGCAATGGCAAATGCATTTTGCACACATTCCATCCAGGATGTCCCTCTGTGGTCCACCACCTGGTTTTTCACTTTAACTCCCACAATTCCAAGCTTCAATCAGATGGGTAACCACTTTATACACAGGACATGTAGGGACATTTTAAAATATGTATTACAATATCTTCCTGTGACAGTGAGGTAGCCATTAAGAGGTTTGTAAACCATTTAGCATGTAGAAAGAAAACTGTATTACGTTTAGCAAATTAGATTTGACATGTATGTAATGAAATTATAGCAATTGAAGATATAAATATGCATTATATTCTTATTTTAATGAGCAAACGTACAAAATAACTGAATTTGACAAAAAAAAGCTCTTTGGAAAAAATCTATTTCTTTTGTAAAAATAGCAGAATCCACAACAACAAGAAAAACTGTTATTGCGAAAAAATTGCTTTCTTTATCAAATCATAATATGACACACTACGCTAAGCATTTGATTCCTTTAAGCTCACAAGACATAATCAAATATACTAGAAAGATGGAGTGTGAAATATTTATCTACAGGTGAGATAGTTCAGTTACTTCACATGTCCAATGCTACCTATGTTAAATGGCACCAAAGTCTGAAAGGCCAAATTGTATGGAATGTTAGCCCAGAACAATAAAGTTTTTTTCCTTTTGAATTCGTGAACCTTTATTTTGTGGTGTGCTCCACAGACAATTCCCATGCTTTTTTACTTAATGCATCATCTATAGTTTCTGTTAAAGTTTAAGGTGCCAGCATCATCACGGCCATTTTCATCCTATCAAAGTACATATATTGAGCTAGGTGATACATTCCAAAGGAGTCTAAAACTAATTTTATTGCAAACTATAATGCTAGATTGGCCTTTGGACACAACAAAACATACCTCGCCCATGACCTCTCTATAGCTGATGTAGCCCAATGCTTAATGTACCAACTATAGAAGATTATCAGAGTTGTAGGACCATGCTGTGGTTTTTAAATGAAATATCAATGAATTGGGTAATAATAGCAAATCTTCCCCATGACTCTGTTTACAGAAAAAATATTTTAAAATATATTAATCTATCCAGGTAAATAATGAGATAATCACTATCATATAATTAATATTGTTTATTGTTTTGTTTACTCTTTAAATAAGGATATTGGGGGGGGTGGAGCCAAGCAACCAAGCTGCCCAGACGTGCCAGGCAAGAGCTCCCACGCCTGGGAACGAAAAACGGGGCTTCTTACCCAGCCATTGAAACCCAGTAGCTGCAGACCACGACAATCGTAACCGGGAGGGGCTACCACACTAACCGGTGCCTCTCTCGAACCCTAACTCAGCCTAACGGATACACTGAGGCTTGTGGCCTACCAGACACTGAGCCATGGAGAGACAGCCACTCTCCGGGCACAACAACAGTGACTGGGACCCCGACAAATCACCCCCCCCAGGACCGGTGGGGGATATCCCTGTCCACCTACCCAGACTAAGACGACCAAGCAAAATACCCTTGAGTATACAGCAGATAAGCAGAGACCACGAGGCCTGATCAAAATGGCCAACGGTGGCGTTACCTACTCAGACCAACAAACTCCCAGCGACTGGGCAGCAGACTTCAATGCCAGGTTCGAGGCTGCTTGCAACCGTTTCTGGACACGCCTGGAGCAGAAACATAGACCCATACCACCAACACTGGTCCATGCTGGGCCCAGCATACACAGGGAATGACAGCTTGGCACAGGGGAGGACTCCACAAAGCACAAGAGCACAGTGCGGCAAACAGAGACTCAAACAGGCGCAGTTCCCGACACAGGCCCACCCGGCATCGGAACCACAAGGGGTGAAACTTACCCAAGCCACCTGTACCAGCGGAAACACATGTGGAGGCCCAAGAATGCAGCCCGACGCAATCACAGGTGGAGACACCAGCCACAGGCACAACAGCGGGGAGACCGAAGAAACAGGGGGACACCCACGCCGACAAGGATTGGCACCTGCCGCCCTGATCCCACGGGAAAAACCCTAGGACTCTCGAGACTTTTAACCTGTGAGAACAGAGCACTACTGTCCACGCAGTCCCTGGGCTGGAGAATCCACCCGCCACCACAAGGCTGCACAGCTCTCCACAGAGAACTGAGCCCACCTGTGAGTAATGGCCCACGACAGGGTATCGGATGACCAACCGAAGCATGCACAAGACGGGCTAGCCACACTAACCGCAGCCCCCAACTCCCCCCCCCTCCCCCCAGACTACAGGACTCTTGGCGTCGGAACAGCCGAAACACAAAAGTAAATTGCCTAACTTCATATTGCAATACATACACTGTCATATTTGACTAGCATACTAAGCTGGATACCCTCCGCTTACCTAGGCTACACACCACAATTAACAAAAGGGTACTAGCAGCACCATACGCTGGCCTCCCCACAACACATAAACGGAATATACTACCTTAGGAACTACTCCTGATCCGAATCTCAGTCTGATGTTAGTAACAATAGATGTTTGCATAGCATGTTTACCTACCTCTAACACCGAAGCTTTAAAGACACAACTACTTACACCTATACATCTTAAAAATTTGTGCACGTTAATCATTTGCCTCACTATGTAAAATGTTATAAACGCATGGGGACTGCCTTTGGGGCACCTCAGGCATGCTTGTATTTTTCTCTTGCACAACAAAAATGAAGAATAAAAAAAAATAAGGATATTGGTATATATTCCTCCAGGTAGCTATAGCAGAAGCTATCTATGGTGAAGACGAAGGAATAACATCGGACTAACTAACCAATCGAGTGAAAGATTAAACCTAATTCCAATTAGCTAAAATTCCAAAGGGGTACAACACTTGTCAGAGTATGCAGATTCCTAAAGGAATAAGTGAGATACTCTATGCACTGATTTTCATGTTATATACTTGTATTATGAGGATAGAACCAGCATTATTAAATTAAGACATACTAAACTGCTTAGGAAAAAAAAGACATCTGACTGTTCTCGTGTAAAGGGTAGGCTGTGGGACTCAACACAGTAACAGCAGCATAATTATACTAAACAAACAATAAGAACATTCTATAAAATATAACAAAGGAGCGTGTGACCCCGTGCAATGCTAAGACAGCAATTGCTAGCAAACACTGGGACTTTTTATATCCAAATGCATATTTCCTTAAGTAGGAAAAGAGGATTTGCTTAATTACATAGCTCAGTCAGAAAGAGTGGGAAATGGGTTCTGGAACGTCCGTGACTATAATTATGTAGCTAAAGTATGATTCTAATAAGACAGATGTCTGTGTGAATAACTGCATAACTACTTTTAAGAATATGGTTAACCATTTCCTCCTGCAAACTCATACTTTGAAAGTACAAATTTGTGTGGATTAATGCTCCTTGTTATGTAATAAAAGTCAGATTTAGATATCATGCGTGATGAAGGGATTTGTCCAAAGTACACAAGGTCCCCATAGAGATATTTGCCTTCATGAAAGATGAATGGGGTAACTGCCTTTAATTTCAGGCAGAAGGAATTAATGCACCATGTTGTAGTTTGTCAATTTAAAGGGATTCTCCAGTGCCAGGAAAACATATTAGTTTTCCAGGCACTGCTAGACCATGTAGTGCCCCTCTTCCTCCCACCCCCATCCAAGTTGCTGAAGGGGTTAAAACCCCTCCAGTGACTTACCGGAGTCCATCGCTGGGTCAGGCTCCGCCTACTCTCCTCCCCCGCCGACGTCTGCCGACGGGGGAGACCTAATGCGCATGCTGATAGACAGCCACTAGAGGAGGACTTAACCCTGCAAGGTAATTATTATAGTTTATGAAAACGGCAATAATTACACTTGCAGGGTTAAGGGTAGTGGGAGTTGGAACCCAGACCAAGTGAGCAGAAGTGGTCCAGGTGCCTGGAGTGTCCCTTTAAATATGAGTGGGATTAACAATTTCACTCCCAACCCTGTGTATAGCTGGGTAGAAGACACCACTGGGCAGGCTGTAATTGTTCTTTAAAATGGACAGGCAGTTGCTGGGTGAGAAGAAACCTCAGTATTACAGGCATCATAGAACCTCAGTGCAGCAGCCAGAGCTACTTTATGGGGTTAGCCACCTACGCTCTTAAAGAAATAATGGTTGTGGCCTATCAAGCAAGAGGGAGCTCACAGATATTCCACACAAGACTGTACAAGATAATACATTCAGATCCTCTAGTAAGACTGCACTCGAGTGGCAATATAAATTGTGGTATTATTGTGCTATTAATTATTCTTCAGATGATTTTATAAAATGGCACATTGGGCACTGACTAAAAGTCGAGGTGTCATTATATGACTATTTCCCATTCTTTTTATTCAAGTTTCTATAAATTATATGAAAGAAAGACATTTGTTTTGCTATTCAGATTTAGAACTTTATCTAATACAAAAATAATTGTACAGATACATGGTTTTAGCCAGGTATCTGTTCATACTGTATGTAAAAACTATGCCCTACAGACATGATTTTTTTTAACATATACCACTATGTTTGTTACAATACCCATAAATATTGCATTGAATAATTGTTTATCTATTAAATAAAACATGTTTTGATACATTTTCATTAAACACAAATTTATATAGTGTATTGACAAATCAAACAGTGCATAGACATTAAGGATTGCTCTAAATATAATGATTGCAAAAACATAACGGAAATCATTAAAAGACTCCAGGAGCTCCAGATTTTAATCTGACTAGAGAAATTGTAATTGTTTCAGCAGTTTGCAACAGCTTTGTAATTAATCTTCCCTGTGGGGTAGTTTTCACTTTGGGTTTTATTTAGTTTCGTTATTTCCTTAATCAGCCGCATGCATCTTAATAAATAGCAGAGTTTCCACCTGGGAAACCACAGGTATGGAACATATGGGATAACAAACTCTAATATCTAATTATTAGAAAAGAAACAATGTGATACAAAACATGATTACTGCTAGTTACATGGGCATTCCCTTGCTCTTTCATTTTAAGTAATATATATATAGTATGTATATTATATATAACTTAAGACCAGGGGCGTACCTAGAGCATTTGGCACCCGGGGCAGATTCTGTGTTTTGGCACCTTCCCTACCCCCACGCCTTGCTTCCCCACCCACACTCTTTAAATTGTAAAAAAAAAAAAAACACCCGCAAAAATGTTTTCATTTTTTTCATTTTTTAAAATTGTACAAATGTGTAAACTTTGTAAAACCCATGTTCTGCCCCCCTGCCACAAATCCCCTGCTCAGCCCTGGTAAACAAAATCCCTGCACCCTCTTCACAAAAAACCTGAACCCCACCTTCCATAAAATTCCAACACCCTCTGTCACAAAAAAAAACAGCCTCTCCCTCTCAGCCCCTTACAATAGAAGTCATTGTAACACACACACACAGTTACAGGAAGTTACACATGCACTGTTACAGGCAGGCAGTCTCACGCACAGTCACAGGCAGACAGTGACACACACATACAGTTGCAGGCACACACACACACAGTTACAGGCAGACAGTCACCCACATACAGTGACAGGCAGACAATAACACACACACCTGCAGGCAGGCAGTCTCTCACACACACACACACACACACACACAAACACACAAACACACAGTTACAGGCAGTCACACATGCACAGTTACAGGCAGACAGGCACACACATACAGTTACAGGCAGACAGTCACACACACAGTCAAAGGCAGACAGTCACACACATAGAGTTGCAGGCAGTCACACGCACACAGCTACAGGCAGACAGACACACCCACACACCCACACACACACACACATATACAGGCAGGCAGTCTCACACACTGTGTCAATGGCACACAGTCACATGCATACCCACACACAGTCACACACACATACAGTCACACACATACATACACACACACAGTCACAGGCAGACAGTCACACACACACACACTCTCTCTCTCTCTCTCTCTTACTTACAGACAGTATGGGCTGGAGGAGGAGTGGATCCATTGAAGCTCCTGGAGTCTTTTAGTTGGGGAAGCAGGGAATATGAGATTAGCTTTTTATATAGTTTATATTTAAGTATACAGAAAATAGTACAAATAGAAAAAAAATCATGAAATAACTAATCAAAAATTTTTATATACATTTTTGCTTCAGTTACTGCCAAACTGTTACATTTTATATTATAATTCTTAAACAAAGATAAGGAATTTTCCACTGCTTAGTTTGGTTCACTTTGCACAAACTGCTATTGACTTGGCCTCTGTAAGTCTTAATTGTGATCCAGATAATAATATGTAATTTTATAAATGATTGATAAACAAGAAATTCACACAAGTAAAAAGCCGGTGAGTTGAGTAGTAATTATATGGTTATATGCCCAGACATTCGTGTCAAGGCTTGTGGTTTCTTCGTAGTGGATTATTAACATGTTTTCCCATCAGAAAGAAACCTGTGGTTGGAACTCTTGTTGTAAATTGTACCATGCCGGTCTCTGACAATGTAGGAACGCTGTTAGCTAGATTCTCAGGCGAAATCTTTTTAAATCCAGAGTAAGAGGCTTTGTCATTAGAAATGGATAAGTTACATAAGGTAACTTACTAATGTGAGAATTCAAACTTAATTTCAAATTTAAGGTCAAAATAGTCAATTTTGAATAATTCTCTAAGTTAGCTATACATTCAGTTCAGCTCCTCCAGTAATGAATTTGAAATTCACTTTGAATTTATCATGCATGG